TATATATATATATATATATATATATATATATATATATATATATATATTCAACATCAATGCATATGCAGATCTATTCATGTTAGTTTAGTAAACATTCTTTAAACCTTTATTATTTTGTGGTCTAAAGATGATCTGATTCAGTTATATCAACATTAAACCTTACAAACTAGTTTTAAAGGTTTTTTATGAAAGGCATCAATCGAAAAGTCTATTATTCCATTTATACATGAGTCCAATGACCAGATTTGGTATTTTCCATTCAATTTGGGCATCCTCATTCTACAGCTTGAGGATAAACAGCATCTGAGTTATTTCAGTCATGTTAGTTTTTTTTTTGTTTTTTTTGTTACCCTCTAAGAGTCCAAAACTTGATCAGATTGGTTCTCAGGAGCCATGGCTTTTATTGTAAAATGGGAATGACAAAAACGTAACACAGAGACATCTGAAGGCCTCATAGCATCAATGTGAATGTGATCTGACACGAGATGAGCTCAGCACGGTGAGGCCCAGCACACAGCTGCCGTTTTTCTGCCACCGAGCGGCCCTCACCTGGCGCTCAGCTCCAAGAAAAGCATGTCGGATAATGTAATGATACGTTATACACTATCTGTTCACTGCACCTCAGGATTTACTGCATTCAGGTTGTAAATACGTCTGGATATTATTTAGACCTTTTATTTCACTGTGTTGGCACTATGTAAATATAAATAAAGTCTATATCCATCCATCCCTCCCTCCCAGCATCAGCACCGTTTCAGCCCAGTCAGGGGAAAGGCCATTACCGGTGGCTGGCCAGAGAGAAGCTGATTGGGAGAGAGGGGGGGGGGGGGAACAGGAAACGAAGTGGAGCAGAGAACAAGATGACTCATGATCCAGTCCTTTAAAAAACGTCAAAATAAACGAGGCTGGCGCCATGAAATGGAATTGGGACCCAACATTCCCTTCTTCAGGTGTTAAATACAGCCACAATATAACACCATCCAAGATCCCAACATCTGCAATGTCCAGGAAAAACCACAATAAATCCTCGTCCAGATGGAAATTGGCTGGTCTGATCTGATCTACAGCCCCTTTGGCATAAACATGGAAACCTTTTAAGGGATTAAGCTTCTTAGGGATTAGCCATTTTAAGGTTTTGATGATCAATTTATACTTTCCACTTTTTAAACTACATGATAAAACGTAATTATTATAAAACCTAACGGCACAGCCCTCATAACATTGGAAAAATAAGATTCTTTTGAACTTATTATTAGTCATTTAATAATACAGTGACCACAAAGGGACAAATCCGCTTCAACACCCTAAAAAAAAGTTGAATTATTGGTGGAAATCGTCTATGAAATGACCAAATGTGGGGGAAAAAATATATATATTTTTTTTAATGACAAAAAAAAGGATGCAAATTCGCCCCTGTGGGACTTTTAGCACAAAAACTGTTGGGTTGTTCAAAACGCCAGCGGCTGCCTCTGATTTTGACCTTGCTTTTCTGATTGTTCGCCTCTCAGAAAACCAGAAGAAAACGTCTGAGTTGAATGTGGATGGAGCCACGTCAGACCAGTCCTTCCTCATGTGCATGAACACAGCTCTGAAACGGCTTTTATTTGGTCCTGAGTGGCTCTGCTCTGTGCAGAACACTGTTCTTTTTAAAGGACTCAAATATGAGTGATTAAAGATGCATAAATCCTCCATTTATTCATTTGTTTCAGGTAAGACCTTTAATGTAATGCAGACTCATCAGTAATGGACATAAAGGACTCTTCTTTTCTTTCCTTTCCTTACATATTAGCACAATATGCAAACTTTAATATTTTAGGATCTGCATTATGCAAAAATGTTTCTACTGATGATGTCAAGAAGCCAGATAGATAATGTTTGTGGATATTTAAAAACAAAGACATCCATTCTGTTCCTAATCCAAATCTTTACAGCCTCCATAATTATCCTAATTTATTTTCCTTATGGGTAAAACCAAACGGATGGCAATAAAAACTCCCAAATAACGACAAATGAAGTAAATACGAGCCTCTGTGTCATTAAAAAAATAATAAACCAGAAAGATCCATAATATTTGTATCAATCCGCTAAAGCAGCCAGTTTTTCCGCTGACAGTCAGCCGAAGGAAGGCCTCTTCCATGTTTTCACAGGAAGCTCCTCTCAAATCCTGCATCGTTTTTAAATGTAAGCAGCCAAACTGAGCACCGACACTCGGGCTGACATCCCCGTCTCCTCCTGCCTCACAGAGAGCCTTTGTTCGGGTGGGGGGGGGCGGAGGGGGCCGCCGGCCGGCTGCACGGGGCCATCGGCGGCCGGAGGGGATGCTGCGGCCCCCCTCAGCCCGCCGGGGAGCACCGTGCCCGGGCTTACCCTGCTCCAGGTCCTGCTGGTCGTACCACGGCTCTTCCTCTTCGGTGACGAATTCCTCCATTCTTCCCGTGCCCAGCATGGGTGTCCGCCTCCGTCCGAGCCCGAGAAGAAGGACCGGAGTCAGCCTCCGCCTGAACGAACGAGCCCCGGCCGGCCGGCGGGGTCCTCCGGGGGGCGGCGGGCGGGCGGGCGGGGTCCTCCGGGGGGCGGCGGTCGTTGCTCCGGGCCGGAGCTGCTGCCGTGATGTGCCGGGCGACGCTACGTGTTTCCTCTCTCTCCTCCTCCGCGGATTCTCAGTCACTCCCCGCCTCTCCCCCCCCTCTCCCCCCCCCCTCCTCACCCCCCCCTCCCCACCACCCAGCGCCGGCCCGGCCCGGTGCTGCGAGCAGCCGCTGGAGCCGTTAGGACGTGGCAGCGACGCCGCTTCCCCGCGGCGATGCCTTCACGTCCGGCTCGTACGTTTGGCTTTCTAGGGTTAAAGCGTGAAAGTGTGTCAGAAAATAGGTGTGATCAGTGGTCCACAAGCTTATATGTATGATTTTGTCCCTCAAGTTTTGTACAGCGTTGCTTCCTGAACTGTCAGAGCCAGTAAACCCTCCCCCCAAACCTTCCTTTTTAGTCCCCACCACATCATTTTCTCAGGCTTTTTTTCCGGACATTGGCTGGTTCATATGAACATCTTGATTCTTCTCTTTTTCTTGCATTTTATGTAAGGTTTTATGGTTTTTGGGGCGGAGCGGTGGGATAACTGTCCCATTGATGACCCAGTTTCAGCCAAGCTTTAGCTATCAGACAGATGGCCTCACATTTGCCTAAAAAAATTCACTGGAACAGAGAGTAGTTTCTGGACTCGATGACTGCAAAGTGTTCAGGCCCTGTAGATGCAAAAATATTCAAAATCATAATTCATACTGGACAGTTGTTAGAGGGTGCTTGTGCTGATAAGGTTTGGCTTTCCTAAAACTTGGTTTAGAGCACAGGACATATTTTTTCTTCTCAGAAAGTCATGTAAACAAGTCTACTATATTCCATCCTGGATACTCAAAGGCACCTTTTTGGATAAAAGCGCCTGTTAAATGTATAAACATAGACAGAAGCATATCTGTTTTAAAAGGACTGATTGCTGGAACTTTTATAGATCCCCATCATGATCACTAAAAGTGTTATACAATATCATACCACTAGGGGGCGAGCTGTTGCTTTCCACTGTAGGCATTTGAAATGTCACTCCTAATAAAGTCATGTTTCCACCTGTGAGCATTCAGTTAAGCACATTTTCCCCATTTCCGGCCACACATTCAGTTCCTTTTTGTTCTGCAGACTCTAACAAAAATCTTTCAATGGCTAATTTGGGTCTTTATGTCTCTAAATACCATTTGTCACTGTTGCCTTTCATAACTAATCCAGTAGTTTTTTATGAAACCTTGTAACTGTCCTCTAGACGGCAGGTACCCATGCTGATGTTTCAGCATTCTGACAAAGAATAAAGAAGATGAGGAAACTCTGAGTAACAGCAACGTCACAACATCAAACAAAACCTGTGTCCACCAACTACATTCATCATGTTCCTGTTAAGGGTGAGATTGCCACTTTAAGCCTGTCTTTTCCTCTTATCTAAACACTTGTTACTTTTATTCCTTATCTGTTCCTCTTGCACCACATTTGATAAACTCTGGTGTGTTTGTGACAGCTGTCCTGAACTCACTGCTACACATCCGTTCCTTATTTTTTTGTGGCATCACAATTTCCTGTTTGCTACATCTACTAAGCCTTTCTATTGGTTGATATTTATTGGCAGCCAGCTATCAACCTGCATCTATAAGCCTTTAATAGAACTGTTAATACCACTACCACCATGATGGAAACCAGCCTGTTTGTATTTGATCTTGCAGCTGTGATTCTGTCAGTATGTGGGGTAAAATTAGAGATGCAAGATAGAGAAACTAGCTAGAAACCAATGAAAGCATCTGACCACTGGACTCCTGATGTCCTGGGTCCCTGACCCAGCCGTAGCAGCCCTTATCACAACAGTCTCCAACATGTTTGGAGTACTTTGGCTCATGGTTTTATCCTTTTCCTTTTGAATTAAACAGAAGGGTTTATGTAATGGAGATTAATTACAGAAATTACAGCAGCAGAGGACTATGAACCAAAAGAGGAGCTGATGAGGAGACCTCTGTGGAACATGAAGATGGCTAAAACACAGAACGAAAACACAGGAAACTAAAGACGGCACCACAACAAAACACAGGAAGCTAAACAAAGGAAAACGCAAGTGAAACCCAAAACCTAACTGTTAGAATTGGGCTCTAGCTTTGTATGCTATCACATAATCCATGTACATGACTGATTGTCTTATTCCTTTCAGAACTTTACTCTGGTGTTAAACTCTCTGGCTGAGTCCACAGATTCTCCCTCTCTCTGTTCCAGTAAATACTCGTCTTCAAGGTTAACATCCACCCATACTTTGTTACCACATTCCACCGAAATCTGCATGAATCAGGAGCTGGCCTGTTCATGACAGAACTAACTGGCCAGTAACACTCGTTTGTGTCCAGCTGTCCTCCTGTTCAGGGCCCAGAAAATAATATATCCATCACACCTGGAAATCGAGGCTTTGCTTGTGACCAATAAATGTCATATTTGTACTCTTGAACTACTCTGGTTTATTTTCAGGCTTCCATCTAAATAATCGGGATAAAATAACCTAGAAAACACAACAACAGAAGCAAAAATCATTGAACTTAACGATACCAGTACAACCCAGAACACAAAATCCCAATTAGATCAAAAAGCGAACCTTAATTTTGTGACAGAAAAGGATTTGGCCCGTTCATACCCCTAAAGACTCAGAAATACTGTAAACATTTTTAATAAATTCGGTCTCTGTGTTGGAAAGGCACCTTTCCCTTGGCTGTGGGACATACTTTGGTCTCTCACCCCTCCCAGACCGTTTGGTTGCTCCCTCTGGACTCTCGTTCCTCACCAGGCAGATCGGTGTGAGAACCAACAGCAAGACTAAAGCAAATGTCACCATTTACTCATGTGCAGTCAACTATTACTGGACCCACACTTCAATCAGTGTTGACAAGAAGAGGAGGATAATGTGGGAATCAGTCAGTTAAGCTGAGCTGGGATCAGAGAAATCCCGCTACATGTCAGTTTTGGACTTACTGCATCCCCATAACTGCCAGCAATCAATGAAAAGAGTCACCACAATTCCCATACGAGTGAAATCTGTCATTTGATAATCATGTGAATGATGACGAGGGCTCAGGATCGAGTGTCACAGGTCACAGGGTTGAAACGCGAGCCTGTCACTATCACTGAGTGAGCCTGAAACAAAGCTCCAAAGGATGATGATTTAATCGATGGTATCTGCTCCCAAAGGTCCCACGGTGACTCACAAAGGTCAGAGCCACTAAAAGTGATGATGGAGACTTTTCGCCCAACAACTCTGCTTATTCATGGAGTTTGGAAATGAGAGGAAAGTGTGGAAGTGTGAATAATCATCATCATTCTGAGGGATGATCTAAAGGAGGAGTGGGTACAAAGCCAGCATATCAAGATGGTCAAATCAATATTTACCAACCTTTGGTTGAGCATCGTGTTTCACTGTTACACTTCAGGTGTCAAAAGCTATTGTTTTAAAAGTAAAAAGCTTTAACTGAACTAATTCATGCAAACAGTTTCTACAGCAGTCAGTGAGCTGCCTGAAAAAGAAATGTCCATAATGATCCAATACACATTTTATTGGAAAAATATTCACTGTAACTTTTATTCCAGAGCACTGAAGGGCTGGAATCTGCTACAAATCCTTCTAGTAGCCACCATGAAGTGTGTCTAAATGAGTCCATTTCAAGTTCAAATTTAGACACAGCAGAGTGGCTGAAAGTTCTGGATATTAATCCTGTTAAAAGCTACTCAAAAATACCACATTGCAGATGGCTGCAACTACAGCTATAAAAAAGTCTATTCTCATATTTTACTGCAGCTTTATTTACTGAACAAAACTAAGCCTAAAAGCAGCAGAAGTGTGTGAAATAGAAAATACCCCCCCTTCCTTTCCTGGGACCAGCCAGGTATTGATCCACTCCACAAATCCTCTTTACCTTTGATTGATTGTAAACAAATGTGAGCTGGAGAAGCTAAAGTTTGATCAGTTTGCTGGTCTAAAGCCTTTAGGTGTAATTTAACATGCTGCCAGGGGGGGAAAATATCAGCATTTATTTTAGGGAAGCAACTGTTTTTACCCATCAATCGATTATTGGCAAAATAATTCACAAGTGGAAAACATTCAGAATAGTTGACAATCTTCAGAGGAGTGCAGCATAAATCTAAGTGCTGAATTAGAGCTCGTTCTTAAAAGCGTTTTTATCTGTTATGTTATGAAAGGTAAAAACATAAATGATTTCAAATGTGGTTGCATGCATCTATAAGCACTGTTTTTAATTATAGTATTTATTTAGGTGTTTAAAGTCACACTCATCCTGTCTCAGTGTTTACCACAGACACACTTCTTCTATTTCTGTGAAAACATTCCTGCAGGAGCTCTGCTTTGTGATAAATGACGATAAGGGCTTAATGGTAACGGCTATTGGTCAGTGAGTCAACTTGTCCCGTTATGTCCCAATTCCCACAACGCACACCCAAAAGAATCCGACAAAGCTTCCTGACAAAGAGCAACAATCTCCAGCCCGCTAACACACCAAACACCCAACCGTGAGGCAGGAGGAGAAGCCCAGTGCTGCTTTCATTTCAGCTCTGTTCCAAAGCTAAAACAGCTCAGAATGTCTCCTGCACCGCTTTGATTTCAGATAAAGGATCATCACACAGGAAGAAAGGGAAAATGTTGGGGTTCCAGTTTTTGGGAGATCTGGGCTGCTGGGACCCCAGACGGATGCACACACCCACCCCCTGCTTCTTTTGAGGAAGGCTGGTTTCCACAGTAACCACGCACAAAATAAAAAGAGGCCCCAGCACAGCTGGTCCGTAGCAACAGGCCGAGGGAGGGAGGGG